GATTTTCACAGTTGTAGGCTTTAATTTCATGATGGAAACTCTCAATAGCTGAGGAGATTCTTCTTTCCTTCCTCATCGTTTTGTGCGACTTTTACTGACAATAACCGCTTTGGTCTCTGTTCCTCACAACTCTAGCTATGTCCTTGGTCTTCGAAGCTTCTTATCATCTCCAATATTTATGTGGTTAGAATCGCCGCCATCTCGTTTTTTTTTTTAAATTTTACTTACTTTAACCTTCAATGCTAAGTTCAATCGTAGTAGGTTGAATTTTGGCCACTTATCAAATGATATCCTTTGCCCTAAATAAACTTCATGTAGTCTGCTTTTTATTTCTGTAACTTTGTTTCGTTTCGTTTTCGCAAAGATTTCATTTTAAATAGCTCCAGCTTCTGTCAGCCAAGAGGAAGCGGGAATTTCTACAGTTATTGCTCAGCGAATAAAGTCATTTTCTATTAAGGAAAGGTAGCCATGTACTCATCATTTTATGGGAACGGCTGGTCGGTCTACGCATAGGAATAGTGGAGTTCGTGAAATGAGGATATGTTATCTGCCTTGCTTTTCGTAACTCACGCCCCAGCCATTCACTCACGTATGACAGGTTGTATTTGCTTGAGGTCTAAAGAGTTCTCTTCCCTCCTCCATTCGCTACCAACTTATGCTGCAATTCTACTGAATGTTTTTATAGCTTAATAATTCATACCATTACACCATCCTCAGGACACATGTGGCGCAGTGGATGGAGACACCACTGCGACATACGCGTTGAATCGATTCCCGCGCCCATAGCTCACCAAGCCTTCCATCCTTCTGGGTCGGCAGATTGGTACCAAACTTGTCTGAGAGGATAGTAGCACGGGCTCGATACATCGGTAGGCCATCGTGAGTCATTGTAAAGGCCAGATATGCATTCAATGACCTCAAACGATACTTGATGAAGTCGATTGCATGGCGCGTCCTTCAGGGATTCAACAACACCGAGAGCTTCACCCTTTCTTTTTATTACACCGCCCTAAATTAATAAGTTTACATGAGCTTGACAAAAAGATTTACTCGACCAATGTTTGGACATCTTCGTTTTCTTCAAAGCCAATGATCCGAGTCGATGGTCCACAGTCGTGTGTCCTATTATACCCTCCGGCCCTTATAATATTCAAGAAATTTTCGTATTTTTGAACAAGAAATGGTAAAGACCTGTAGAGTAATTCGACAGATATCGTCAATTTAATGCTGCACGCACTTTACACTTCAGTAGTTTCCGAGGGTTCAAGGTAGAGATTTAGGAGACCAATGAATAGTAGTCGCGTAGAACGCCTTCCTTCTTTGAATTTGTAATGAAGCGGATACCGCAACCGGCGAGGGTCACAGCCTATTTCCTCTTGCGTATAATCCTATGCTGTATTAAAACAAGAGTAGATGATTTTTCTTAGTCTGCTATTGCTGCAGTTTATCTTCTTTTATGTGAGTTCGTATCTACTAAATTTCTCTGACTTGAACTCTATGGGGAATGAGCATAAAACACCCAAATCAAAGACATATTTTTGGTCCAAATAGAGTCAGTTTTTGCAAAAAAGATTTTTTCCAACCTTAGCGTCAGTCAGCTTGAATTGTTTTCCTGATAAGCAGAGACAGTGTTGCTAGTAGAACGTTTGTTCGACAATTCCTATCCTTTCGCTTGTTCTTTCCTTCATTCAGTCGAGCCCATCCACAATCCTGTCTAAAAAAAACTCGGCCTCTAATTTTTAATCGCACATAGAGCAGCATCTTCAAAACGCCCATCTTCTTCACTGCGTGTCTTTCAAGCAATAAGACAGATGAGCCGCACAGAGGCGCCGTGAAAGAGAAATGGCCATTATCAAAACAAAAAATTGGTCCGAAGTATAGAATGTGGTCACACACGACTGAAAAGTATTAATCTCCGTCGTTTATTTTTGAGTTCCTAGAATTTATGAAAAATGCTAATTCTGCGTTCTAACGTTTTACATTCCAGATGGTAATTTCTCTTGGAAAATCTTTTCAGTTATATCTTTGTGTCTCATATGTTCGTTGTAGAGTATTTTCCTCAACTTAAGCTTCCATTTAGGTGCTTCCTCATGCTGACACAAATCGTCAGGCATTCAACATCTGAGCTTATAGAATCACGTCTTTGCCGTTCAGGCAAATATTGCAGTTTCTCCTGCGCATAGACGGTCGTAGAAACAGTTACGAACTAATTGAGGCTGAAGAGAGTTTGACGAAGTTCAATGACTGACACCAATTTTTCTAAACCAGTTCTCTTCACGCATGACTTCAGTGGTGTGCTTACGTTTTTGGAAATAAAGGGCAGGTTAAGTCCAGATTCCTGTTCTTTATTCTTGCGGCTGAACCTTGGTTTCAAGTTTTTCGCCAGATTCACAGTGTACTTGGCTGAGTAGATCAACATGGCGATCATTAGACTCCAAGTCGTTCGCAACGATAACAATTGTGAATGAATACATTGTAAATATTAATATCCTCCTTCCTGCTTATGAAGGAAACAAGCTTATGGCTAGCTTCTTGCTTTGTCTGTTATTGTTTCCCTGTGTTTATGTAATTTTCTGCTAAATTTTTAATAGTTTTTTTTTCTGTGCAAAGAGTTTGCTTATTGACCACTCGTCTACAACAAGTACACCGCTAGTCTAAAAAAGGAGTAGCCATTTTGTCGTTATGAAGTTGGAAAGAAAAATGTTATGGTGCTTTTCGTTGTTCTCACCGTTTGATATTTGAGAACTTATTCCTTGTTCGATTATTTGTTACGTAATGCTTTTTTGTTACATTTATAATGATATCTAATGAAGGGGTAGCGAAGTGGTATTAGTGGCGATCATCGTGAGCTAAGTGCTGGTTCAACCCAGCTCGGCGCTTACCAGGCCGGTCATACCTCCGTGATTGGGAAATTGGTGCCGGACTTGTCCAACAAAATTCCTTCTTTGCAATTAAAGTGGAAAAATTCTAGCCCGGCTATCTCAGAACTCCAGGAAGAATCGACTCGATCAGCATTCTATGACATTCGTGGTGAAATGAAAATCCTCAAGCAGCAGCCTAAGCCACATGTGAAAAGTTGGGAGACCTTAGTGGATTACGGCTGCCAGGAAACAAATCTAATATGAAAAGTGCTGGGATCCCGCACAGGAAATTTGAAGGACTGGTCATATAAAACAAAATAAAAACTGAATGAGATTAGTTTACCTGAGAATTCAAATTTGAACGTGAAACAACGGTTGCAGTTGGAAATGACACTAAAGCATAAACGTTTTGGAGCATAGTATTGAAAGAGAGTAGCCGTGTCATGAAGTGATTCAGAGGAAATCTCTTCTACGAGCAACTCTGAGTAACCGTTGCTGTATCGTAACCGTAATTTGAACAAATCATTTTGTAATCCGTAAAGCTGTTTTGAAATTTCTTCAAACCCAATGAAATAGGAACAGTTGGTAAACTTAGTATGAATACTTACCGTATTTCCCACAGAAAACATAAATTCACCGTGCTGAAAATTTTATTCAGCTCTAAACGTAACATTTCCTTTTATTTCTAGTGTTCAGAGGAGGGTAATGTGGCTACTTAAAATAATATGTAAAGCTTAAGGTACTCGAATACTTGACTTGAATTTGAACAGCCCGTCCTCACTGGTTGTGCGGGCCCCAGCATAATCTCCACTTTTCGTTGATTTGCTAATTAAGCCATTATGGTTTCTTGGAACACCTGGAATACCGGGGTCAGTTTGGCCAAAGTCTGCCCCACGTCTTCACCACCACAGGCAGCCGCACTACTTGTGGATCAGAGGGAGATTTGCCACCACGCGACTTTGATACCAGAACGGTGGCGGACTCTGGTATTGGTTTGCTCTTAGTTAGGCTTCCCAATAGAAGTGCTGCGGTCTTTCTCAGCTTGGAAAACCCTTCTAGGGAGTGAATTCTCTGCTGTACACCGCAGTCCAAAACCCAGAAACACCGCCCAACCACGATGAGGCGGTAAACCGCTAGGTGGAAGGTACTTGAATAAACAAAGTAAAGTGTGTCGTTTTCTTGCTCAGCAATCGCGAGGTTTTTAAACAGCACACATTTACTTCCATAAACAAAACACAATACAATACAACGCTAGCTGACGTTTCGGCAGTATCGCCTTCTTCAGAGCCTGGAAGGGTATACTGATATACAATCTACTAGGCCAAACGCTTCAATAACACTTACAAAAAGACGAAGAACTCTCCGGCAATTACACAATCAACAACTTCTCGAAAAACCCACCGCTTTTTCGTGACTTCCAATGAGGAAGTTTAGAACAGCTGATTATAGTCGTATATGGTTGACGACTGCACCATCCCACATCAAAAATCGATGCGAACATACGGGGTCAGGTCGCGTATGATCTCCGGGCATTCATCCCTGCTATTCATTGTAGGGCTTTTGGCATTGATCCAAAAAGCCTCAAGGAGTTTTCGCGCTGGTGTTTTGGACTCCTGTGCAAGGATATTGACTTTCACTTCAAAATCGTCTCCGCTATGCTTTTGTATCCTATGCGTGCCTAGTGGGGTGCTTCGTCTTAGTTTTCGTTTGCCATCTAGGTGTTCTTTTATACGGATACACAAAGGTCTGCCCGTTTCGCCAATATATTCATCTCCGCAATTGTTACACGAGATCAGGTATATCGTACCTGAACTCATGCAATCACCGTCCCTGCCGTAAGGGCAAATTACGCAATTTGTTGTTTCACACAGACGGTCAGAAGTAAATGTGTGCTGTTTAAAAACCTCGCGATTGCTGAGCAAGAAAACGACACATTCATATTCCAATGCCGAGGTTAAGAGAAAGTCGATCTTGGGAACTATTACAAGATGTACCAGCAAAGTAAAGTGTTTTCGATAGAAATTTTTGTTCAAGGCTTCGTCGCTCTTATAATTTTAGAGCGAACTGGTCGGATATTGCGCACCTATCCAGCCGAATAATTGGTTCTGGTTCCATGAATGCCTTTTTCTTTTCAGAACAATGTGGGTGGTGCCTCTTGCATTCATCGGTATTGGCATCGTGTCTGCTCAGTATACCTCTCAGACATACCCAGATCCTCGCCTGGATCCAATCACTTGTCGTCTACCGCTGAGTAGTTATATCTGCGACCCATCATCTATTTTAAGCGATGAAGAGCGCTTGAGACTGGTAGAGCGAGTGAACCAGGTGAGCAAAACTGTTATTGCTATATTTCTAAACGTTCTAAAGAAGTATGTTTTAACTTTTATATTCTGCTTACATTTTTTTCCTGGGAGGGTACGTTGTAAAGAACAACAAAAAAATTTCGAATCATGAGCAAAACTCGTAACCTCAGATGGGTTTCGTACTCACAACTATGCTTTCCGAGGGCTCATGTGCTATCCAGCACACCAACTGAGGCTCTTACAGCACAGGCTCTTATTTTACCTTTCAGCTATGTTTTTACACGTACGTTCTGAAGAACAGTTGCACCGCTTTTGTTCTACAAATAAACTGAAATGCCCTCCCAACGGTTTGCCGCCTTATCGTGGTTGGAAGGTGTTCCTGGGTGTCGGATTGCGATTTACGGCAGAAGATTCTTTCCTGCGGCAGGATCTCCTAAGCTGTGAAGGAGTCTGGCGTTTCCATCAGTAACAGCTAAGAGTGGACCAATAACAAAAAACTCCACCACTGTCCTGGTATCAAACTAGTCACATGGCGGCAAGTTTCTCTCTGATCCATAAGGACTGCAAGTGTTTGTGGTGGTGACGACCCTGTGCAGACTTTGGCCAGGCTGACCTCGGGACTCCATGGAAACAGTGGCTAAACCGGCCAAACTGCGCAAACTAGAGAATATGCTGAGACCCTCATAACCTGTGAGGTTGGTCCGTTTAAGTGTCTAAGTATCCAAATAATAAACCGAAAAACCCGCATGGCGTGGTGGTGAACGCGTTAGCCCCCATGAAGGGTAATAGCGCGTTCGTTCTCCACCGCAGACACATGCGGTCCAAAGTTTTACAAATATCTCAGCAGCGTTGTGGTTGTATCACACGTAATAACCTGCCATGAAAAATTGTAATAGGCAGTAAAATAAAAGTTAACATTGAAGTTGGTCAATCGCTGCGCGAGCGCTTTATCGGACAGTCAAGGTGAAGATTTGACGACTATATACGAATTATCGTGGCTTCATTTTGAGTCATTTTTTCTTGTTTCGTTGTGCGATTTCACATCACGGTGTCCCACAAAGTGGACGACTAGTTGAAGCGGAAATCCAACAGGCAAAATTAGTTCACCAGCTTTTCTATGGAGTTATTCGAAACTTATCCGCAAATCAAATTCTTTTTTGCAGTTTCGAACAATGACGGCCGGCATCCGGAACACATCACCAGCGTGCGCAATACAGCCCGATAGGAGCCTCGATGTGAAGTTGCAACCTATTAATATTTTCAAGAAAATTCATTGTTATTAGAGGCCATTTTGTTTTCATAGGCTGAAAAAATATTCCGGCCGTAAAGTAGACGTTTGTAGGATTTTTTACGATATTCGTAACCTTTCGATTCACTACGAGCTTCTACTAGAGCTTGTCGTTTAAGATGAATCAACATTCATCGCATTCTTGCTGAGTAAACGAGAGGTGTTATTTTTATTCCTTGTTCATCAATAAGCTCACGTTTCGGCGGATTTCGCCTTTCTCAAAACCTGGAATGATCAAGCAGACAGCAATCTATTCGGCCAAACACCTCCATAACGAAACAGAGAAAACGCTAAACCAAGATTTCAATCACATTGAACACAGACTAGCTTCTTTGCACACTCACCGCTTTCTATGAGGCTTTAACTGAGGATGTAGCGTGGAGACCAATCGCACAGAATTCACATGGAAGCGTAATGTGCCTCTTCCATCAGAATAACAGGCTTATATACTGCTTTATATCACGCGTCATAATGAGGCACTCTTCCCTGCGGTTCATTTTCGGATTTCTGGAATTAATCCCGAACGCCTCGAGAGTTTTACGCGCTTGTGTTCTCGACTCCTGTGCGAAGATCGTGACATGTAGTTCAATGTCTTTCCCGTTATGTCTCTGGGCCCTATGCGTACCTAATGGGGTGTTTGGTTTACGTTTGCCGGCCTGGTGTTCTTTTATGCGGAGACAGAGGGGTCTGCCCGTTTCGCCAATGTATTCGTCTCTGCAGGTTTTACAGGAGATTAGATAAACTATACCCGAGCTCATGCTATCACCGTCTTTACCATTGAGGCAAATTGTGGAATTTTGCGTTGCACATAGACGGTCGTATAAGCGGTTGCGAACTAGCTGGCGTCTTATATTACTCGGCGGTATTTCGATTATTGTTACCGAATTCTCTAAACCCGTCCTTCTTAAGCAGCGTTTTATAGCTGCACTTACATCATTTGAGATGAAGAGTAGGATAAACGGAACCTTTTATCGCTAGAGTTGTCGTTTGGGGGACTAGGTTTTTCCCTACACCTATCCCGAGCTACACTTTCGTAGCCATTAGAAATTGCTATTTGCCGTACAAGGTTCCGAAACTCCTTTCTGCTGTCTTCTCGTGCACACGGTGAAATGTACCAGGATGTTTTTACTACATGGCTTTCGGAACCACTTCATAATGTAGCCATTTTCTGGTAGGTTAATTTGGACGTTCAGGAATGGAAGCCATTTTTTTTCGGTTTCTCTCGGATGAACTCGATGTACTGTGACTGTGCATTCAACAGTTCGAAACATTTGTCCATTTCCTTCTTGTGTTGAGCAAAGGACAAAACAGTCATCTATATATCTACAGTAGAGTAACAGCTCGAGATCGGTCACTGGCGCTTCCACCTTAGGCATGAATGCAATCGCAAGGCTTGGTGCCAGTCGTTGTCCCATTGCCAACCCTCCTATTTGAGCGTAGTACTTTCCAGGCCATCTGAAGATTGAGTAGCTCAAGCATTCCTTTAAGAGTGCCATCAACTGCTTTTTTTTAAAGCCGTGCATGTTTATTTCTCCTTCGTGTTGTACAAGGAGTTCGATTATGGCCAGCATTGCGGAGTCATTCGACACGTTTGTATAAGGGGCAGTAACGTCGAAAGACTCCATTACGTACGCGCTGATGGGCTGCGCAGTACGTAGACGATCCAGAAACATCTGGGTATTCGTAAGATTTGCTGGAATGTGTTTTAACAACTGGTTAAATATTAGGGTTAAAAAGGATGTTATCCTATCCGTTGACCCGTCTGCACTGCTAATGATAGGTCTAACCTTAAATAGTGATGGATCGGTAGACGCAAGATCATCGCTGGATAGTAACTTATGAAGTAACCGCCACGACCGACTTTCTATTAACCTCGGCATTGATCAAGTGATTTTCTTCGTATTTTTGTTGAGCAAACGCAGGTGTTACTATTCTTTGTTTACGATCAAGCTGACGCTTCGGCGGATTTCGCCTTTTTCAGAGCCGTCAGTATACAGCCTGTCAGCCTTCAGAATACATTATACTTCCACGTGATTTCTGTGCGGTTGGTCTCTACGTGACATACTAGTGGAAACCTCATAGAAAGCGGCTCTGAAGAAGGCGAAATCCGCCGAAGTGTCAGCTTGATCGTGAACAAAGAATAGTAACACCTGCGTTTGCTCAACAAAAATACGAAGAAAAGTAACTTATGAGTTTTTATGAGCAAGTAAAAGACGGGACATGTTGACGGCTAACGAGTACATGGTAAAGTCAACTTTTAGTTGAGAGATAACTGATGATTTTAAACAAATAGTCTTTGCCATTTTGGTCCATTCATGGTTCAATTTTCGGTATTTACTTTTAAATTCCTTCTCAGATGATGGGCTGTAGAGTGAAGCATCTTCAAGACGCTTTTTCGTTATCGCAACATTTAAGTGATGGAGAATTACGACAAATTCTCCATCCTTATCACTAACGGATAGTCTAATGTTTTTCAACCTTATCAGCTCTCTTACCTCTCGCATACGACGTTTTTGCCTTTCAGTGAAGTTGGAGCAGTATCTCTCTGCGCGATAGTGATTAAGGACTTTGAGAGTTTTATTCGTAAACATCCGAAATTTAACATCAACCTTCATTATTTGGTCCTTGTTGCCTAAGGAACGGCTGAGGAAATGGTGCTATTGGCAGAAGTCCCACTTGGTGTTTTTCCCACCTATTTTCCGTTTCATCCCTAGATTTTTCGCGGAGTCTACCTTGAAGATCATGTAAACTGCATACGATCCTACGCAGGGTAACCTTAGAAATGGGTTCAGATGGTGGGAAACTTGGTCCCAATTCTAATAACCAGTGCGCACCGTCAGGTGGAGTCATACCTTCTAACACGGTTATCCTTAAATTTTCTTGCACATCATTTATCGTACTGTGACCTGTTTGATGTTCGTTAGCTGTATTTCTGTATGCTTTTGAAGCCATGTTGCCCGATTTACTCAAAAGGTCTTCGAATTTTCTCTGCGAAGTTACTTTAACACTAGACCTAAAAGATTTGCAAGTCAACACTGACCTACCCACTACTCTCCTTGGGAGGCAGTCCTCCAAATACGGAGCACAAAAGTTTTCCTTCGTCTCGCACTTCTTCCACTTGGCGAACATCTGGTTTTGTCGGCTTCGCAGACAGGTGCCTAGTATTCGCAATACGATGTCCAGTACTCGGTGACTGTCCTCTGGTAGTCCGCAAACATCGTGTAGTTGTCTTGGTTTGATGAAGTTCGGGACGACCCGGTGTTTTAGACAGCGGCGGAAAAAATGTATTGACTGTCGAGCTAAGACGATCTTTTGTCGAAGTAACAGCGCTTCTTTTACAAGTCGGAAGTATGTTACTGGTACACCTTGTAGTAATTCCCACGACCGACTTTCTATTAAACTCGACATTGATCAAGGAATTCATCGTATTCCTGTTGAGCAAACGCGAGGTTTTATTTTTATTCTTTATTCACGAATAAGCCGACGTTTCATCGGATTTTGTCTTCCTCAAAGCCTGGAAAGGTCAAGTTGACAGCAATCTATTCGGCCAAACACCTCCGTAACCAAAGAATGAAAACGCTAAACCAACCAACCAAGAGGCGTTCTAAATTAATTCCAGAAATCCGAAAATAAACCGCAAGGAAGAGTGCCTCGTTATCACGCGTGATATAGGGCAGTATACAAGCCTGTTATTCTGATGGAAGAGGCACATTACGTTTCCATGTGAATTCTGTGCGATTGGTCTCCACGCTACATACTCAGTGGAAGCCTCATGGAAAGCGGTGAGTGTGCAAAGAAGCCTGTCTGTGTTCAATGTGATTGAAATCTTGGTTTGGCGTTTTCTTTGTTTCGTTATGGAGGTGTTTGGCCGAATAGATTGCTGTCAGCTTGACCTTTCCAAGCGGTGAGGAAGGCGAAAGCCGCGGAAGCTTATTCGTGAATAAGGAATAAAAATAACACCTCGCGTTTGCTCAACAGGAATACGAAGAATTCCTTGATCAATGCCAAAGTTAACAGAAAGCCGGTCGTAGGAATCAACATTCTTTCAGATTTAAACACTTTATAATTTGCATGCCTCAGTTGCATCATTACCTAGATCCTTAGGGAGAGGTTAAAAATAAACAAAATGTATTGAATCCCCAATTATTTCAGATCTTTGTCATCGTTATCGATAAAATCGGCAGCATTCCTGGTGCTCCAGTAGACATCGAGAAGTTTACCAATAATCTTAAGAGACGATTCCAGAACTATCAGGTAAAGCGAGGGTCGGGTTTCATGCGGTGAGGAATTGAGTGATATCTAAGTGTTTTAGATCTAAATCTGTTACATTTCCTATAAAATTTTGACTAATGCTACTCGAATATTTAATTCTAGGCAAAGTTTACGACAAGAACAAAATGAACTCGTTTGTTAGATGACAGGCCATACTACGCCGTAGAACGTCTAGCCACCTTTTCTCCACACCCGCACCCACAAACACAAACAAACACAAACGCACACACGCAAACACACACAAACACATACATACATACATACATACACACATACACACATACATAAATAAATATATATATTACTTGTATATAATGCTGAGATATTTGCAAAACTCCGGACCGCAGGTGTATGCGGTGGGGAACGAACGCGCGCTGTTGTCCTTACCGGGGAGTAGCGCACTTCACCACCACACCATCCGGGTCCTTCGTTTTGCCTGACGGGTGATTGCTGATGGCAAAAGATCTATAGAACTAGATGAGAGATAGGCAAAACGAAGGACTCGGATGGTGTGGTGGTGAAGTGCGCTACTCCAGGGTAAGGACAATAGCGCGCGTTCGTTCCTCACCGCATACACCTGCGAGCCGGAGTTTTGCAAATATCTCAGCATTATGAAATTATATTTCGCAACCTTCCCTGTCATTAAAAAAGGCAGTAAATAAAAGGGTTAAGATTGTAAATTTATATATATATATATATGTATATTCTCACATCGCCTATTGTGGAATAATCGTTGTGTTACGGTTGATGGATCTCTTTACTCCTCAAGGGGTTCTCAATTAAAGGTAGAGTGGGAAAATAGACATTAAGTGGTTGATCGGCGGGCCCACAAAAGTCTCAGTACCTCAGTGATTTCGTGGAGTTACTAAGAACATGGGGCTGCATTTGCAGTGATTATTGGTTAATATTATGTGCAGATTTATCCTCTGTTCTTCGTAGGATATCTCCGCATGTGATACAACTGTGCTCATCGTCAACTCTAAGCAGGATCGTCAGGTAATTTCTCACAGCACTTTCTCTCTTAGCATCTGTCACATTTTGGTAATATTTTGTTAAAAATCAGTTTTTCAAATTAAAGCATAGACTAGCTGTTTTTGTTTAGGAACTACTCATGCCAAAGCTTGTAAGATAATTGTTGGTTCAGTGGAAAATTTAGTTGAAAAACAAAGGTAAAACAAAGTAGCTCAGGTGTTCACCGTTGCTGGTCGAGACACGCGCATTCCTAAGGATACGTTAAGGAACGCTTTCGAAAGGAATATTGGTGAGGTGGTTAGTTTATTTTAAAGCAACCTGACTGAATTTTGATGATTCTCTTCCAGAAATGCTGTCCACCCAGCGTTATTTCTATTTAATTTTACAGATTGGGTAGACTTTTGCTTGGATTTTCATGAAGCCCGTGACTAAACGTATTCACTTGCCCAATACAATAGTAGTTCGGCTCCTAGAAGCACGCCCTTGCTTATGTAGTGGAGTTGATCTTTAAGGAGAAACCAAAAGCAGACCATAAGGATTTCCAGAATACTTTCACCGGTATAGCAAAAAATTTTTGATCTTCTGTGGCTATGATATTATATGGTGCCGGTGTCATTCTATCTCTTATTTGCTGAATCGTCCGCTTTTCGCCAATTTTTCAAGCCTAGATATTTTGTATCGATTCTCATTGAACATACGCGGATGTGTACATGAGCATTTCAGGTTATTTCAAAGCCGGGAACTATGCAATGGGTATTGAAGGAATGGTTGAGCTCATAGTGGCAACCTACTCGAATGCCCACATAATGCAGATTCCAAGGCCCGACAACCAGCAGTGGGATTTCGATGATTTTTTAACGGTTATCTTGATGGCATGCTTACTTTTTCGGCAAAATCATGATTTTTTTGAGATCATAGTTAGGCGAACCTTATGAAGAGAAAGGGTGTGTCACTAAGATTTAGAGTAGAATCCGTCTTAATGCTTGGTTTCGGAATCTTTCATTCAATAATTACCTGTTTTCTTGGTTAATAGGCAGGCAGTTGATTCTGTATTATTTCATTATTTATTTATTAACGATAACTGAAGTTTCTCTAGATTCCTCCTTCTTCAGAGTCTGGAAGGGTTAATTGATTGCAGTCTGGTTAGCCAAATATTTTCTCGCCCTTAACAGAAAAAGCCGACACCTAAATTTTAACAAATTAGCTTCAATCTTTAAATCGAAACTCCATCTAAATTTTACTCTCTTCATTATCTCCCTAGATATTTCTTTATTTAGGTTTCGAGATTTGTTGTTAAAACTACGGGAAATATTTGGCTGACTAGGTTGCACCAATTTAAGCTTTCCAGATTCTGAAAAAGGCTAAATCCGTTGGAACATCAGCTGTTCCGATTAAGTAAATAGTGCAATCATAGCTTCGTTTCCTATTATCAAGAAGACAGTAAATTATCGAGTTAATAGGAGTTGGTACCAGTCTTGTCTGGGAGGATAGCAACACTGGCTCGATACAACGGTAGGCTACCGTGAGTCATTGTAAAGGCCAGATATGCATTCAATCACCTCCAAACGTTACTTAATGAAGTCCAATGCATGGCGCATCCCTCAGGGATTGATCAACGCCCAGGGCTTTGTCATTTTTATAGCTCATTAATAATTTTATATCCCAGTTGAATTGATATTGAAAAATCTTCTTAGATTTTCCTATATGTACTTTCCCCTTATTTATACCCCAGTGACGGGTTGGACGACGATTCAGCGTTTTTAACCCTTTCGCGACAAGGTTAACTTTAGAATGACTGAAAATTTCTCGATCACTAGAGTATTTTAGGAGTTTAAACTTTACAGAAAAAAATTTGCTTTGGCGAATTAATAGCATATTTAAGTTTTATACAACGCTTCTTCAAATGTATTTGGATGTATTTGTGATTAAAACTCGTTGTTTAAGTTTTTATAAACCGCAGTGACGCTGAGATAGAAACTGAGATCAGTAGAAAACAAGGTGAGAGACGGGCGAAGCGAAGGACTCGCATGGCGTGGTGAACGCGTTAGCCCCCGGAAAGGGTAAAAGCGCGCCCCCCACCACAGACGGCTGTGGTCCCGAGTTTCGTAAATATCTCAACACCATTGTGGTTTATTTCGCATAATTTCTCGCCGTGAAAAATTGTAGAAGGCAGCGAGTAAAAATTAACATTATAAATTTTTTATAATTCCCAACGAGACTTCGATCAACCGCAACTTAAACGACACATTGGGGAAAACCACTCTGCTCTGGATGATGATATCCCGCCTGTTGATTTGAATTCGTGTTCAATGACGCTTAATACAATAAAATGAAGGAAAGACTTCAAAAAAGTAGGGGTTTATCTTGGTAATAAAAGAATAATAGATGTTTTATTCTTTGCGGAAAAATGAAGGTTCTAGTGGTTTTATTGTAATTAATAGAACGCACCATGAGCTTAAGAAGGTCATTATCCCTGGAAATTTGTTCTAAACTAGTAAATGGAGAATTACGAATAAAATTAACCACTACTTAAGACTTTTATATTTTTCTGCTGTATCAGGAAATAACAATGAAATTGAACAAAATTTTTTGAAGTGGGAGAGAATAAGATAAAATTAGGTAGAACACGCTAACCTTTACTTTCTACCAATAGCTCCTGTTTCTTAAATCAAGATTTAGCCAAAGAAAATCAGTATGGCAACTACCTACCTGTTCTTATAGGGTGGTTGCAACACCTGATCCCACTAAGTTTGTGCCGGATATCCGTTCAACGCCAGAAACTGTTGCACCATTTCGAGCAGCAGGACTACCCAATAGTGTCCATCCCGTCAAGGTATTCTCGTCGAACAGTGCAATTGAAATAAACGAAAACGACAAGGTTCGCTTGCTTAATAAAAACTATCACTTTATTTCCACACTGCATTTATTCTTTTTGAAGATCAATTGATTATGTTCTGTCCTAAAAAGCAACGGAAACATTCGAAGATCGATGTTGCGACCTGTAATTCATTAACGAGGAGAACCGCAGTATTTTGAACAGGCAGATGAACATGTTACGGATAGCAGCTGCAACAATCTCATCACAAACCTCAAATATGTTGGGATGCGATCATCCTAGATTCATAAAGGTGTTCACAAGACCTTCTCTACAGTTGCTAGCGAATTCAGTGACGTATCTTCCCTAAGTGAAGGCCCAAAAAATTTCTCCCTTGCTTCAAAAATTTCTATCAAGTTCGACTGTTTGGTACTTAAAAAGGGACGGCAAGGATGGATTTGATGGATTTCCGATATTTCGAAGACTGTTGGAGTTTTGCCACTTCATATTATTATAAGGGGCGCTCTTAGCTCAGTAGTTAAAAGAGCATCACAATAAACACGTTGTCTTTGGTTCGCTCACGTGCACGGGCTCACCAAGAATTCCATCCTTCCTGAGACAACAGTCTGGTACCAGAGTTGTTTAGGAGAATAGTAACACTGAACTGATGCATCGGCAGACCACCGGGAGTCATTTTATAAGCCAGAGATGCGTTTAGTCACCTACAACAATGCATGATGAAATCGAATGGATGGAGCATCACACATCGATTGGTTAACTCTGAAAGCTTTACCATTTCCCTTTTATTATATGACTATTTATTAATCCATTGTTTTCTTTCAAAGAAGTACAAAATTTTAACTTCATTACTGATGTAGTTAATTTGGACTTATTTTTTGCCTGTTCTTTAAGGTTTGGGTGACAATAATGCAGCAAGCAGTAGCTAGATGTGGCTCAGAACCGGAGTTGCTACCGGTGCATGTTCGTGCTGTTGTGGAAGGCACTGCTTTTAATACTACTTTTCAATGTAGAATAAAACACGGAGTTCTAAATATTAACCTGTTGAAGTTGGAAGACACACTGGTTTGTCTACAGCTAGTTCTTTCAGAAGCGATGAGCATATCACTGAAGTTGATTTCTGATTCTCGGTATAACAGTATAGAAGAAGAGGTGGAGGCGCGTAAAGACGTCACTGGCATACGTGAAAGGTGGGAGTCAAAATTTGACATTAAAGAGTAGAAACATAAGTAGTTCGGCGTTGGTCAATGCTTGAAAGATGTGCCACGCATTCTATCGTTTTGAGTATAGTAGAAAGAACTGAATTCACATGGCCGCTATAACGTTTTTTGCGGTAGCCTGACGATGTGTCAGGTCAGTGTTTTCCCCGTTTTATTTTCTGAGAATATCAATTTCCCGTGCCTGGAAGGATGGCTTGGCTTGGTGATCCCGGAGCGAGATGGAGCCATCGATGATGTGTGTTACATTGAACTTCTAATTACTGCGACGCACGTAGTCCTGTTATTACCGGCCGTATTTGATCTAATACAATAACCGCTTCTTTAGAGAAATATCGTATTGACAAGAGATGGCACAAGAAATAGGGAAAATATAAGTGTTTAAGCCTGACTGAAGGCTGAATAATTGGTCAGCTGAATTAACATTCAGTTCATTCGAGTTTTCAACTGGGATCGTATGCAAATAAATACTCATTTTGAAATAAACAACCGCTAACTAGCTTGCCTTGCAATCCATTCAAGATACAGCCACAAGGTATGCTCAAAACTGGAACCTCAGCTAGACTTCGGACCAGTGCTCACTCTTAGCAGGGGCTCACGTCCTATCCACCACAACCCATGCCTTTGCGTTGCCTTCTCTGAGCCAGTTTTTCACTGCAGTGGTGTCATCAGCAATCATTCGTTAACAGCAACGATCTACGGAGCACCAATCAGCATCAAATCGTCTCAAACTAAGCCTGCACCCGAATTCACAATGTTTTGCCTTTAACTTGACGTCCACTTTTTTTTCGGAAAATATTATGTGAAATAAGGCCATTAAAAAAGGACAAAAGCTCTCGGCATTGATCAATCCCTGAGGGATGCGCCATGCATTCGACTTCATTAGGCATCATTGGAGGTGATTGAATGCATATCTAGCCCTTACAATGACTTGTGATGGCCTACCGATGTATCGAGCCAGTACTGCTATCCTCCCAGACGTCTGGTACCAATTTGCCGACTCTAGAAGGATGAAAAGCTTGGTGGGCCATGGGTGCAAAGATCGAATCCACTTGTGTGTTGCAAGGCGCCTCCCACCACCGCCCCAAACGCGCGAAATACGGCCGTTAGAGCCAAAAATTGGCTGAGAAAAAGGCAACGCGAGAGCCTCGATTGTTGTGGTTTGCAGAACGTTGACCCTTCGTCGCAGTAATAACGAGCTCGAAGACCAAAAGAGACCGAGTTTTTACCATACTTCGGCATTTTTGTTGTTGTTGCATTTAATATAACACGCTGCCATTAAAAAAGAATACGCAGCAAGTAGAATGGTGCAAATCAGTTTGCTCATTCTTAGGTTCTGGGCAAATGTACCTCCCACTCACCAGCTGTTGGGAAATTGGCACCTGATTTATGTAGACGAATAAAAGCACTGACTTGATACATGGTTAAGCTTCAGCTGGTTACTTTAGAGACCAGATATTCATTGAGTTACCATCCAGCTAACCCTTAGTAGAGTCTAAGGATTTGATCAACAGCAGTCAATTCCAAACACCTACTTTCGACTCATCTCGACGTAAATGAGCTTGAACTAATGAACATGCACTGTCTTCCTAACTCTCGTTTTTGTTCTCGAAATTGCTGACGGATATTTTGATGTTTTTGGCTGATGTTTTGTAGGCTTCGCCTACACCAGAGTCGTTTTCACTTTAAATGAGCAAGACCACCGGAATATAGTTCACACCGGCCTATGAAGGAGTTTATCGGATATTAAAATACGTGTTGGAAACATCGTGTCAGCCCAAAAAGACCTGAATATTTTATGCTTCAAATCGCTGAAATAACTTGTATGGACCTTGTTGAGTTTCAGGGCGTGGAAATCAGCGACGACGCGATTCATCCAACCGCTGCTTCAGAAGTACCACGCGGTGATCGTCGGCTCCATTCAAAGAAGTTGTCCAGCTATCACCTTCAGGCACCATCGACGTTACTAGGAATCTTGTAATCTCGCGCTTATTATCTTTTTGTTGCATTCTAATTATGGCATACTTTTTGTGTTAAACACAACTCTTAATAAACACTGCGTTGTCGCGGTATTTTAAAAATGTTATATGCTTCACTTATTTTACCGCGGGCTCGTAGAAAAAAGTTTTAGTACAGCTTTACATGCAAAATATATTATAGCGTGTGCATTATTCCGGATGCCGCATAGTAGAAGGTTGTTCAGGAAAGAAATGCATATTTTTCTTTTCATGTTTTGATGTTTCATTTTCATACAGTTCTGACTATTTTTGAACATCAGAAAATCATGTAAACTTCTTCTCTTTGACCTGCGATAGATAGCATGAAAAGAGGCATAGCTCCAGGTTTCGAAATTATCTCTACCGGCTTTTCCCGAGCTAGGGGCAACAAATTACATGTACTTCTGGCAACACAAAATTCACCTTCGAAGGAAAAAATCTCAGACGCTCTCATATCAAAGAAAGGTGATCTAAGAAATCTACGTAAATAACGTTAGATATGTTTGTATAGTGCACTCTACAAAATACCGCAGCTGGTCCAGCATCTTTACCACCTGACCTGTGGTCCGGTTAATCTTCAAGTGACTCGAGCGGACCCCAGCAAAAATTCCATCTTTCCCTGTCGCGTGCAAGAGTGGCCCAGTGGGTTCTGATCGCTTTAGGGACTCGTCGACCATCACATCTTTTTTCTGGGCTCTTCGTGAAGAACTGTGACCATCGGGTCAGTGGTCTTCCTGCAGTACGTTGCATTTCTCGAGGAATCCAGTCACTAATGGCTCTTGTCCATCGGTTGTCATTCATAGGGAGTACGTGTCCGGCCCAACTTATCCTCGACTGCTTGGCGTACAGAACGACATTTCTGTTTTCTGATCGTCGACGCAGGTCGGAACCTCGTATTCCTTCCCTTACTTGTGTAAAACGGGTACGCCTAGCATCGTCCTTTCGACTGAACGTTTAGTTACGGTTAGTGATCTTTCATCATACTTAAGCAGCGACCAGGTTTCTGACGCATACGTTAGGGCCGGAAGCACAGTTGAGTCGAAAAGGTGGGCACGGAGTCGGGTGTTCTTTGTTTTCCTCACTACATCCTCAATGTTCTTGAAAGCTCCCCATGACGCTCGATTCCTTCTGCTCAACTCTGGAACTAAGTCTTTCAACATGTTGATTTCCCACCTAAATAGATATAGCTGGAGCATTCGGAGGTATTCTTTCCATTGAGCGTGAATGGGGCACTGGAAACCAATCCGTTCGTTATGAACATCGTTTTTGTGAGATTTAGATGAAGATGAAACTGTCCACAGGCTCTATCAAAGTCGGCAAGCATATGTTCTGCTTGGCTAATGCTTGGTGTTATAAAAACGATGTTATCAGCAAAGCGAAGATAATGTAACTGCTGGCCATCGATTTTCACTGCCATATTATCCTATTCCAATGTTCGCATGACGTTCTGGAGGGTGGCGGTAAATAATTTTGGCGAGATGGTATCACCTTGCCTAGCTCCTCTTTTGACGTCAATGTTAATATCGTTGTAGAATTGCGATATCTTGGTTGCCAAATTTTTGCACAGCTCACGAAAGTCTTTATGTATTGAGTAGGGACTCCTTGACTATCAAAGGCTTCCAAGAATGCTTCTATCTCAATTGAATCAAAGGCCTTCTGGAAACACAGAGCGGTCTTTTGTACTCTGCCGATACTTCTATGAGTCTTCTTATCGTGTGGATGTCGTCCATCGTACTAAATTCTTTTCGAAAACGTGCTTGCTCACATGGCTATTCTTCGTTCAGTGTTCTGTCAATCCTGTTTAGGATGACTAGAGTGAAAAGTTTGTAGACGACAGACAGCAAGCAGATTGGGCGATAGTTAGCGATATAGTGTAGGTTAACCCTCTTGAACAAAAACAGCGTCATGCTGGTTTTCCAATGAAAAGGGACCTTGCATTTAAACAGTTAACGTATAAAGAGCCGAGCCAGTGTGTTTACGAGGATTGGCCGAAGGTTTTTCAGGTGTTCTGCTCTTATCCTGTCCGGACCTGATGCTATTCGATTTTTAACCGACGAAGTGGCGTGTTGGATTTCAGAAGGGAGAACTAGTGGTACAACATGTCCGTCCTCCTTTACTTCATATAACAGAAGGTGAACGTAGCTATCGAAGAGATCTGAGTAGTATTCGTAAATTTTTCTTTCTATTACCTTTCTGGACGCTGTAACTATTCCGCCTGGCGTCCGAATGCAATCTTCATGGTCTTGCAACTGCCGAAGCTTCGGTGGGCTTTGCGAATACTCTGCCCAGCCTCTGCTCCTTCGACCATTACTGCTGCCCTTTTCTCTTTAAGATCTTGTATCGCCTGTCTGCATTGTTTTGAAAGTTCGGACGTTAGCTTGCGGTTGCCTGCAGCTGGAGCTTATGCTATTCCACGCTGGTGTATCAGCTCGAGTGTTTCTGGTGTCAGACCTCTTTTGATGACTTTCGAACTCAGAGTTTTCATTGCGCTTGCATGAAGATGTCGAATGAGCAGATCGTATTCTTCGTCGATGTTATCTACAACGGCACCTTCCGAACAGCCGACTAATGAATTGAATAAATCCCAGTTTACGGTAGTTCTGGGTTAAACCATCTGTAAACGATCAATCTGTCGACATAACCTCTTTTAGTCCAATTCCTGCTTCAGGAAATGCTGCAGAGATTCGTCTTCGTCCAACCGCTGAACCGAATTTCGTAGAATCCACTCTTTTCTTTTGTATGTCAGAATGCGGTAGAAAAATGCGCCACTCTGGTAGTGCAGGAAAAAACGGTCGGTGCCTCAAATGGCGTTTTTACGGGTATTCAATTCGTGTGTACTCAAACATCGAGCTTCTTCGACATTCTGATCTTTTCTAATTGTCTCAAAACGATTGATATGTTAACACGAAGCCCCTGTTTAAGTTCTTGAGAACTTGTGCTCGCTTTTATTGCTTAAAAGGAAGCCTTCATTTTATCATCATAAGTAGTAGAATGCTGTTCGCAAGCTTCCTCACCTTCAACTTCGAGTTCATCCAGACAGAGTTTTCCAAACGAATCTTGCACTGCACGTCCAATAAAATATTCTAGGCCCTATGTTTTGTTGATTTCGAGTCCTTTGGCAGCACTACACCGACTTTCAAATCGTAGGAGTACACCTGTCAAAATTTCTCTTTTAAAATCGGAGACTCGAAACCTTAAAGTCTATCAAAAAACACCTTTTATATTTTAATTCGAGTAAATAGAATAAAAGCTCATAAAAGGAGCTTTGTAACTTTATAGAGTAGTTTAACATTAGAGAGGAAAGCTGTTGGTAAAACGAACTAAAGAAAATTGAAATCACAAGTCGAATATTATTTTTGAATAGATCTAATACATAGAATAGATATAGACATAGGTAGAACATAGATAAACGGGCTAAATTGAAGAACTTTCTTAAAAGTGTACAGTGGTTTATAATGTGGCCATGCATAACCTCTTATTTTCAGGCTCCGTTGTAACAGGAGTCGTGGGACTTACGATGCCTCGATACTGTCTGTTCGGTGACACCGTAAACACGGCCAGTAGAATGGAAAGCAACGGAAAACGTTCTGTTTCCATTCTTTTTTCATTCAATGCAACTCTATTTTAGGGAAACCACTTCTTCGTGTTCTTAATTGGAGCCAAGAATGAAAGGCGTTCCTAAAAGATCA